TTCAAGGCTTAAGCCTTAAGCTAATATTTTGTCAAATGAATTAAAGGTAATGGAGATTGTATTTTTTTGGAAATTGCACTTTTAAACTTTGAAGTGTTGCTAACACAACTTATTGTGTTATTTTGAGAACATGAATGAATTGTGTTCCCTTCAATTTATTCCTTAAATTTTCTTTACTTGGTCTTAAAAAGTTATTTAAAAGTCTTACATTTACCTTCATAAAACCTGCAGAAACCCTGTTGTTCCTGACAGTATCTAACAAACAAGTATATCTACATCTTTATTCTTTCCCTTACATATAATACAACAAATATTTCTGCTGAATATACACACTTGAAACTGTCACACAACCTCAATCATATCTGCACAGACCAAAACAACTTTGATTTTCATAACTCACTAAAAAATATTATATTTTATTTATTTCCAGTAACCTATTTCTGTCATTCCCTCTGTGCTCTGGGCTCATTTCCCTCCATAAGTGATGAGATGAAAGGAACCAGTTTGGCTCTAAATGCACAAGACTGTAAAGGAGCCATTCTGGCTCTGTGCTTCCACAGCACCTCTGAATCACAGATACAATAAAGCTGCAGGGGAGCAGTCGCACTCCTTCAATGCCCACTGCACTGCTGCTGTGGGAAATGCTGATCATCACGAGCACTGTGGCTGGGAGTGAAGCCGCAAGCCTTGTTTACTAGTACTACTGCTAACTGGCCTCATGCTGAGGAAACCTTCAGCCAGAAATATGCTGTTAATGCCATATCTCATGAAGCAGACCTTTATGCTATAGAAATAAAAGACACTGAAGCAGAACTTTCCATCAGAAAATCACTTTTAGGTCACTGACACACACACAGTGAGCAAACGGCTATATCATCTATCACAGGATCCACCATTATCACCGTACTATATAGCATTTTAGGGCTGGGTGTCGATACAGATTTATTAATTTCATTTTATCCCAATTCTGATTAATCTGGGCAAATTTTGTAATATTTATTATTTTTTTATTACTTTTTTTTTTTTTTACAGATAATGATAAATGGTAAATTAAATTATTTGGTGCAATGGTAAATTAAATTGGTAAATTACACACATATATATATATTATATATATATATATATATATATATATATATATATATATATATATATATATATACATACATACATACATATATTGTGTATATATTGTGTATATATATATATATATGTATGTATATATAATGTATGTATGTATATATACAGTATATATATATGTATATATGTATGTATATATGTATATACCATGTGAACCAACTGAAGTAAACTTATTTTTATAAAACTGTGATATATTAATATATTATTAAATATATGATATATTACAACTATGAAAGGGGGGGGGAAGTGAATTTTTTTATTTTTTTAAATAACAAAAATAGTAACCTTAAAAATTCCATCTAAATCAGTGAAGTTTTACGTGTTTTCTTGTCATTATTTTGCGGTACACAGCGGTTTTTTTAAAAACTGGATTCAATCCAGATTACTCTCTATAAAATATGACTTATTTTTCCGTGGAGTTGTAGATTTGGCAGAAGATTCATCCCTGCAGGTGCGACACTGCTAAAAAGCCATGTGGGAAACACCCCGATATCGGGATTTTACAAATCAGTATCAAACTGGTTGAAATAAAAATTGCGTTTAATTGGGAAAATAATATTTTTGACTTTTTCTTGTTGCTATTTTTTTAGCTACATTAAAACTAAATTCTTGCTAGAAATACCCATTTTACAAAACACAATGGCATTGGTAAGAAGAGAAAGCAGATGAGAAGAGGAGAGAGCATGCATTTGGGAGGGAGATTGCACACTCGGGATGTAGGAAAACCTGTAACAGCTGCCAGCGGATTAAAACAGCTTTGAGACAGATTAACACTTTATTTCCTCTGTTGTGTACGTGAGAAAAAGCCACTCTTTCGGTTGGCTCTGCAAGCTCTTTGATTGACCCAGAATGAGAATCTGTTACTGTGTTGTTTTAGTGCATTTGTAATAGTTTTAATAAATATGTTTTCCTCTCTGCAGGGTATAAAGTGGACTGCTGTATTTATCAGTCAATGAAAGTCCTTGTTTTCCATGTCTTTCAAACAGAAGTCGATTTTTAGTGATTTGGCCTCCGTTCAATCTCACGCTCTCCATTTCCCTCATCTTTCTTTCTGTCCTCCATTCTCTTTCTCCTGTGCTTCTCTCAGCTTTAGTTGGTCTCTCTGGGACATAAAACAAGTAAATGATATGGCCCTGACCTTTAGAGGGCATGCTTTATTTCTTATAAGACGAAAAATTGTGGATGAGAGAAGAAGAAAGTGAGAGCAGATCAGCTGCGCATGTGGGTTGACCTTTCCAAGGTGTAATTCACAAGAGACCATAAATTAATTACAAATGATTGTATATTTTCATTTGCCAGGTTTCTCTATTCTCTTCAGTGTCTGGTTAGAAATCAAACAATATAGTTTGTATGTAGTCTTAAAGATCAAAAGATGTCAATTAACGTCTTTGATAGATCTCATATACAGTCTTTTTTTTTTTATTAATCAACATTATTCATTGTAAAACTTAAAGAATTGTTGGCTGCTGTAAGCTGCCAGCTCATTTTTAAATGGTTGGTTGTAAAACGCATTAACCGCACATCCATGTCATTTGAACATGAATTTTCTCCACAAGTGCCTACAGAGTGTTGAGGATTTGAAAAACTGCTGCATTTAAAGACAGATTGACTAAAGAACAATCCATAAAGTTACTGGTTGTAGCCAGGGCTGGACTGGGACAAAAAAAATCGGCCCTGGCATTTTTTGGTCCAGGCGGCCCACCACCACTTCTATATATATATATATATGTATATGATCTACCAGTCAAAAGTTTTTGAACAGTAAGATCTTTAATGTTTTATAAAGAAGTCTCTTCTGCTCACCATGCCTGCATTTATTTGATCCAAAATACAGCAAAAGCAGTAATATTGTGAAATATTTTTACTATTTAAAATAACTGTTTTCTATTTGAATATATTTTAAAATGTAATTTAATCTTGTGATCAAAGCTTGAATTTTTCTTCAGTGTCACATGATCCTGCAGAAATCATTCTAATATGCTGATTTGCTGCTCAATAAAACATGTATTACTATGTTGAAAACAGTAGATTTTTTCAGGTTTCTTTGATGAATAGAAAGTTCAGAAGAACGGCATTTATTTGAAATAGAAATATTTTGTAACATTATAAATGTCTTTATCATCATTTTTGATCAATTTAAAGCATCCTTGCTAAAAGTATTAATTTCCATAATTTCTTCAACCCCCCAAAAAATAATAAAAAATAAATATACTGACGCCAAGCTTTTGAATGGTATAGTGTATAATGTTATGAAAGCTTTTTATGTCAGATGAATGCTGATCTTTGGATCTTTCTATTAATCAAATAATCCTGAAAAAATTTACTCAACTGTTTTCAAAATTTGAAAATAATAATAATAATAATCAGAAATGTTTTTTTTGAGCAGCAAATCAGTATATTAGAATGATTTCTGAAGGATCATGTGACACTGAAGACTGGAGTGATGATGCTGAAAATTCAGCTTTGATAAAAGGAATAAATTATATTTTAAAATATATTCAAATAGAAAGCAGTTATTTAATTTATATATATATATATATATATATATATATATATATATATATATATATATATATATTTTTTTTTTTTACATTACATTAAATTTCTGTCCCATTTCTGTCCCCCTTACTTCTGAAATGATGGCCACGCCCCTGCCTCTATGAACACACTTGACTTGACTTGGCCAAAAAAATCGCGGGGGACGAATTTACATTATATTAAAAAGTGTTTTCGTATTCTACACTCATGGCACGCACACACGTTAGGATAGGTTAGATGCCTGCCTCCGCTGCGAGTCCCTATCAAGCACTTTACAGATTCAACTACTCTCTTCTTCTCCTCCTGCCTGGCTCTTTGGCCCGCATCATCTCTCGCAGAGCAAGCCTGTTCTTGATAATGCTGCTGTGAAAACGTGGGGAAAGCCGACGAGGAAGAGGTTGGGGTGAAGCGATCTTTATATAGGCGGAACAAAATACTTCATCGCTCTGTCTATAGCGCATTGTGATTGGATGGTTTACGCTGTCAATACAGGAGACAAACCAAAGGGCCACTGGCTGCTCGCTGTCCATGCGTGACGGCCCTTGGCAAAAAAAACAAAAACATTCTGTCGGCCCACCGGGAAATGCCCGGTATGCCCGATTACCAGTCCAGCCCTGGTTGTAGCCCTAAAGGTAATGATACACTGGGCAACTTTTTGAGCAATGTTGCCTTCAACGGGCAACCAGGTGAGACACAGGGCCCACGACCGATCTAAAGTATCCAGATAGAAATTTGTTGCCCATTCTCAATGGTAAAGTCCCCAAGCAACATCGCTTGGCAATGTTGCCCAGCCAAATCCAAAAAGGTTGCCCCGTGTATCATCACCTTTAGGTCATACAACACCTTAACATTGTTGTGTGATGCTTACAACAACCTGTGTAACTCCTTAAATAAACACTGAAGAAAATCTGGCTTGCATTCTTTCCTTCTTTCATTTTTGATTAAGAAAGAAAAGTCCAGTCAGCCTGATCAAGCACGGTGCAAAGGTTGACAGTGAATGTAGAAGAAACAGGCCTGGAAACTATTTCATGCATTGATTGAGATGGAAGCGCAACTGAGATAGCCAACTGTTTTAAACAGATTAAAAAAGATTAAAGTACACTTAAAAAAATAAAGGTTCCAACAGGGGGGTTTCGCAGCATTTCTACTATTGAGTGGCATTCATGTCAGTGTGCATTGACCGAACAGTATTCTGAGAATCATGCCTTTGTGAACATTACAGAGGGTGCAGTCTTGTGTTTAGAGATGCAGAAGTATTTCAAAACAGATTCTCAATGGTTTGATTTCAAAGTAGATCTTATCTCTCTCTTCCTCTTTCTAAGTGAATAAGCACAAGCCGTGGATCGAGAGCTCATACCACGGCGTCATCACAGAAAACACAGATGTGGTTCTGTTGGATCCTCCTTTAGTGGCTCTGGATAAAGACGCACCAGTTCCATATGCAGGTAAGAAAGCAAGAAAGAAAGCGCTTTATAGGCTACTGGGTTTGTAGTACAGCGCTGCACACACAGCTCCTGTTCCTGAGGCAGTCTCAGCTGATGAGTGTGTTTGTGTACTCCATCTGTTCTTTCTGATTATTAGATGCTTTATGCTTTTCCAGATCCCCTGCTGGTTGCCAGATCACACTGCCAATGTATCAGATACTCCAGCTGAACTATATTTCTCTGATACACTTAAACTGAGTCACTATCTATCTATCTATCACCTGTTGTTCTACCCATCTATCTATTGTAAAACCATTCAATTTGTCTTTATAAACTTTGCTTCAAAGAAAAATACAGTCAGTCATATATTAATTTCTTTGAATTTTAATGCATTTCATTACATACAAATTTGAATTGCAATTCTGCATCCTGTTTACTAATTCACTTCAATTGAAAATGCCTCTCAGAATGGCACACAACCCTGGAATCAATATAAACTTGCAATTCTAAAGCATCTCGAAACAATTTAAAAAGATTCAGGTGGAATTAATTTAAAAATAACAATTGACATAGTTCAAAAAGGAAGTCTTTCTTTTTACTCTCCCTCTAGCACTTTTTCTTTTCATTTTTCCATCTCTGATGATTTAGTGCCACTGGTGGTTTTCGTTTTCTCTCCGTAAAATACTATCAGATTTAACAATCTCTTCTCTCTCTTATTCCTCCTAAATAAATGAGTTCTTTGGGGAATGTTAGTGGAGTTTTTACTCGCAGAAATCTAGTCAGACAGCTGCTGCTAAAAGAGACCCAACACTTCAGAAAGACACTGAGATCCATGACATCTAACACACACACACACACACACGTTTTGTCTGTTCCCATCTTCCCCAACATACAGTATCCTTTCATGTGATTTACTGCCACATGTGACCTTTACACAAACAACCCTGACTGTATTCTGACAAGGAAATTAATTAACTAGTGTACATAATGCATTCCCTTGAGAGAGACGGAGAGGAGAGGAAGAAAGAAAGGGGTTCTAGGTTATAGTCTGATAAATTAAAAATATATAAAAAAATTATTAATATTATACAATTATTTATTATTAATGATACATATTAAATTTTAATATTTATAAATGTATAATATTTCATATTATATATGTAGGTAGGTAGGTAGGTAGGTAGATAGATAGATAGATAGATAGATAGATAGATAGATAGATAGATAGATAGATAGATAGATAGATAGATAGATAGATAGATAGATAGATAGATAGATAGATAGATAGATAGATAGATAATAGCACTTCTACTTCACACTAAACTAAGAAAATATTATCCATGCATGTAAAAGCACAGATCTGATTGAATTAAGTTTGTGTTTGACACTCAAAATGTCTTCAATGTGTGTTACAGGTAATGTACCTATAAAATGTAATTAAATATAAAGTGTGATTAATGGTTCTCCAGCAACCAACGATGAAGTGTAATTAATTAAGAGGGCGTAATTTATGTTGAAGCGAGATTGAGTTTGTTAAGAGGGTAATTGCTGGCAGGTTACAAACCAACATGCTGAATAATTGATGGGTGTAATGCTCCAGTCATGTGAGCTGAACGCTGTAACGGAGCAGCGGTTTATAGAGAGCTGACTGATGAAAATAGCCAGGCTGCTGTGAATGCTAGATCAAACGCAAGATTTATCATGTAGTTGCTAAACAATGCTTTGATAGGTTTTAATCATAAACACTTTAAAGAACTTTACCTCAAAGTACAAAGAACAGTCGACGGTATATGAACCAAAGGCAGAGCTTGTTATGGTTATAACGGAGGATAAATCCAGTTATTCTGACTAGATGAAAGTTATGTATTCCATCTGAAATGTCTCTTAACCACTTTAAGGCACCAGGATCTGAAATTAACATTTAAGTGCCAAATGCTAGAAAAATGTGGTTTCAGATCAATAATAAACCATTTGCCAGTGGGTGGCCACAATGGGAACTGTTTTAGTGACAGGTGCAATATGTATTTTTAAATTTAAAAATATTACAAAATAATTTATATTATAATATATAAATATATTTATATTATATATATATATATACATTCATATATAAAATAATAATATATTCATATATATTTTTAAAATAAAACAATAGACCATTTGCCAGTGAATGGGCACAAAGGGGACTGGATGTTTTTGTGATGGGTGCAATATGCACGGAAATGAAAATCTTTACATTTAATTAAAATTATAAAATTATATTTTATTATAATAACTATTATAGTTTATATTACATTATTCTCTCTCTATATATAACATTACTGTAAATATTTTATATTTATAAAAAGCACTGTTTCTTCTTTATGTTCCGTTACTGTATTTATAGTTTATAGGATAGTTGTTCTGTCTGAAAGGAGAACAGGAGATGGAGGAAACCTCACATGCTGTTTTGTTTCAAATCAGAAGCGACAAGAGACTGAAGGGGAATAAGTGATTGAACTGAAAGAAAGCATGAGTGACAGAGGGAAGGAGAGAAAGCATGTCAAAGCTCGCTAGGCACTTGAATGATAAAAGACAGCATTCAGGAATGTGTGCGTGTGTGTGAGGGGTCACTGCGAGTGCAGACGTATACGACTCCCTCAAGGCCTATACGACGCTCTGTCTCTAAGAGGGACAGTAACAGAGTATAAATCACAGCTGCTGGGAGTCTCCAGCCTACGGCGGCCTGTAAACTTTGATCAAACACATGGCATTAAATGACACACTGGCTGTGTCCCAATAACATACAGAGGTTTCAGTTTCAGTGTTCAATGTCTGTGTAGCCATGCGTTTGTAACAAGTGGCCCCGTTGCCGAGACTACGCCACCCCGAAATACCGGGGAAAATAACCCAAATAAGGACATGCAAATACGTTCCACATGAAAAGAGCAAGAGGCGTGAATCTCCGTATGAACAATCTTTTTTTAAAGCTAAAAGAATGGGCTAATATTAATTTAAAACCCACAGCACTGACATAGGTTCAAAAGAAGACAACAGAAAACATCCAAATAATAATGCTGTAGAAAGCGGAGTCTTCCTATATGAGAAGCGGGTGAATGTAACAGCACCAGGTACGCAAAAGAGAAAATCACACCAACCCGTATCACACGCACAAGACTCACTGCAAATAGTAACAGCAATAGTGACACACAAAAGTGTTAAATAATGTCCGTGGTGCTGTCAAAACCCAGCCCGCTCCCGGAAGCACTCCACTCCTACAAGCAAAGGAAAAGAGAACATCACATTAAAAATAAACCACAAATTGAATGTCCATGTTCACAACAAAAGAAAACAATCAACTTTTGAAAAAGAATTCACAAAGTAAGAGAAACCAATTTCAAATCACTCAAAACAATGCCAAACAGAAAACAAATAAACCAACAAACATCAAGCCCACTTGAATACTAGATATGGACGTAATTAAACTCCCAAAAGCAGCAGCGTGGCTCGAACAATGCAGAATAGGGAACGAGCTGCATTAATTACCGCTCCCGCTCAACCTATTCCAAAACACACACACAGCACAATTACAATAAAACATGCAAGGTTATTTAGCTATTAGAGCAATTTACCTACCTGTTGATACGATGGTGTAATGCTCATGACAACAGACTTAAGAATCATACAACAACCTCTTTAAAGGCTCCTCTTTAAAAGGTGACCGTGACAACAGCTGGTGCTACGACCTGGGCTACGTTACACTGCGAGGCCACAATCAATGGGGGCCGTGAAGGCACACCGCACTGAAACACAAAAACTCTTATTAAGCTGAACACAATTTCCCCCAGCTTCCCATACGTCATTGCTTACCTGAGAGCAAACAACGCACGCACCCAGTATATCTCAGCAGCCTAACAACACACATGGAAGGCCATAACAGGAGGGAAGGGGCGGCTTTCAACCATGACGCACTCCAAGAGGCAGAACCAACCAACTTATATACCCTAACCTGGCAGTCGCTCATTGGCCACCTAATTAATGGTGACATTTTGACAACCTCACTACACGTTCATTTAGGCATAAAAGTGTCATTTGCTGACAATGTCTTACAATTATGTGCATGCAATTCAGCAGCAGGCAAAAAAAGTAATGGTGTCAAAATTAAATTAATTAATTTTTTTCATGAAATAATACATATTGTAGTTATTTAATGTTTTTTTGGTTATCTCAAAAGCTCAGTTGAACTATATCATTAGATGTGATGTTATGGTTCCTGTCTGAAACCTCATTATAGGTGGCTTTAAATTCAATAAAGCTTTATGAACTTTGATAACACTCACACAAACACATAAATGACATTTAAAAATATACCTACAAAAAAAAAAATGGACACAAAAAAATACTATTCTGCTAATAGCATTTTGGATGAAACAGTTTTTTTTTCACACTCTTTTAAACCATACAAAAAAAATTGTCGAACTGGGCATCACGGCAGCAGTTTCATGCTTACACAGCTTTGAAGATTATGGAAACTATGTTATTGATTGCTTTAAAAGCATATGTATGGAGCCAAATCGGCCTCAAAAATAATACATTTATAAAACAAAATTCATAAATGCACAGCACAATTTACGGTGTCAAAATTAAATTAATACATTTTTTAAAATTGTAGTTATTTAATGTTTTTTTGGTTATCTCAAAAGCTCAGTTGAACTATATCATTAGATGTGATGTTATGGTTCCTGTCTGAAACCTCATTATAGGTGGCTTTAAATTCAATAAAGCTTTATGAACTTTGATAACACTCACACAAACACATAAATGACATTTAAAAATATACCTACAAAAAAAAAAATGGACACAAAAAAAAACTATTCTGCTAATAGCATTTTGGATGAAACTGTTTTTTTTTTTTCACACTCTTTTAAACCATACAAAAAAATTGTCGAACTGGGCATCACGGCAGCAGTTTCATGCTTACACAGCTTTGAAGATTATAGGAACATCCTCCAAAAAAAGATATTTATGAATCTTAACCTGCC